TCCTGCTGGTACCAAGTGGAGCCTCCGCCGGCCAGTCTACGGTCTCCGCCAGGCACCCCGTGAGTGGCACGACACTCTGAGGACCACTCTTGCTACTCTTGGTTTTGCTCCTTCCACTGCTGACCCTTCACTGTTTTTACACACTGACACCACTCTGCCACCGCTCTACGTTCTCGTGTACGTAGACGACCTCGTCTTTGCTACTGCTGACACTGAGGCACTCGCCCACGTGAAGTCCGAGCTGCAGAAGAGACACACGTGCACAGACCTGGGTGAACTGACAAGCTATCTTGGCTTGCGGATCACCCGGGACAGAGCACAGCGCACCATTACCTTGACTTAGTCACACATGGTGCAGCAGGTCCTTCAGCGCACACTCACACATGGAGAGAGAGAGAGAGAGAGAGAGAGAGAGAGAGAGAGAGAGAGAGAGAGACACACACACACACACTCACATGCACACACATACGCACCCATATGCACACCCACCCACACACCCGTACACACACACATACTCCCACACGCACATACACACACATACACACACACAGGCACACACACACACCAACACACATAACACAAGGCACACGCACATCTACACACGTGGTTGCACTCGTGCAAAGGCACGACGCCCAAGAGCGTGGTCCGCTGTTACTCAACTGCTCATGCACGCGCTAATGTTGTGGGATAGCCGATTGTGCATGAAAACCCCACGCAAAATTTGACAACCGTTGGATCGGGACGACGCTCTCAACATACGAATACGCGATAACCAACAAGACAGTGTTTATAATGCGAGGATGACTCAACCAAGCACTACACTGGTGGCGCTTCTGGTGCGATAGTAGCCTCATCATGTCTATTATCTCACACGGATATTGGTTCCCATGGAAGGATGGGCCCCCGACACCTTTCGAAAGGAAAAACCACGCAGGCGCCCAGACGCATTCGGATTTCACACTCGACGCCATTCAGGACCTCCTGCAAACAGGAGCAGCGGCAAAAGCTCCTGACCGATCAACACTACTATGCATTAGCCCACTCAACTTGGTCGAACAACGAGAAAAATGTCGGCTCATCCTCGACCTGCGGAAGGTCAACGAGCACTTGTGCATTCCTAAATTCAAGTACGAAGGCCTCGCCCGGGTAGCGGAGTTGATCCAACCGAACGATTGGATGCTATCGGTTGATCTCAAGTCAGGGTATCATCACGTGGACATCCATCCCACCTGCTGGAAGTACTTAGGATTCCAGTTCGAAGGCAACTGCTACTTCTTCCAATCCCTGCCATTCGGTCTGGCCACGGCCCCTTTCATCTTCACGCAACTCATCAAACAGCTGGCCCGACGATGGCGATCTCTCGGGTGGCGGGTTATCCCGTATGTGGATGATATACTGATCCTGGCAGAGACCGCACAACAAGCGGGAGCCGCATGCGCACAGATCGTCAGGGACCTGAGAGACGCCGGCATTGTAATCAACGAGAAAAAGTCGCGTCTGGTCCCCACACAGGAGCTTCGCTTCCTCGGACTCGAGTTGAACACACAAGTCGGAAAATTCTCGGTCGGAGAAGAACGGCGCTCCCTGTTACGAGCGACAATCACAAGTCTCATCGATTCCGTATGCGCTGGTGACCACGTGAACGTTCGTCAAATCGCTCGAGTGACCGGAATGCTTGCTTCCATGAGCCTCGCTTTGGGCACAACCGCGCGAGCCTTCAGCCACGAGCTATTGCAACTTATCAACAACGCGCCCTCATGGCACTCGAAGGTGTCGTTGTCAACTGAGGCCATCCACGAACTGCACTTCTGGGCAGAACAGTTCGACCGTTTCAACGGTGCACCATTCCATCATCCGCATCACTACGACGCCAACATCCAGGTGGATGCCAGCGCGCACAGCTGGGGTGCCACCCTCTCTACTTTTCATGGACCACCGAGCAACGCAAGCGCTGGCATGCCCGACAACCTGTGGCCAACCTCAACTACGCGACGCCAGTTGGAAGGCGTGCTCTGGGCGCTACGCACCTTCATGGACCGTCTTCGACACGGCCACACGTTGGTTCGCGTGGACAACCAAGGGGTCATGTTCATCCTACGAAAAGGCGGCTCGCGCAATAATGAGCTCACGCTCACTTGCAAAGAGATCATCACTCTATGCACGGACAACGCGGTGCGACTAGCCATCGAATGGATTCCCAGAGATCAGAACACTTGCGCGGACGAGCTCTCAAAGCTGCAAGACCACGATGACTATACGTTGAAACAACCTTGGTTTCGTCTCTTGGACCGTCGGTGGGGGCCTCACTCTGTCGACCTGTTCGCAAATGCACAGATCGCATTGCTGCCTCGTTTCTTCTCTAAAGTCCCTCACCCGCGAGCCGAGGCCATCAACGCATTCTCCAAGGATTGGCACGGGGAACGGGGCTTCGCATTTCCGCCCCCCCACCTCGTCCCTGCAACTCTCCATCACGCGCGTCGCACACGGGCAAAGCTAACCCTGGTGATCCCTGAGTGGTCAGGGGCAGCCTGGTGGCCCCTAGTGCAACCGGCCCCTCAAACATGGGCCATAGGAATTACTAGCCACCTTCGCCTCGCAACCGGGAGTCAGTGCCTCCAACCAGGCACACACACTGCCGCATTCTCAGGCACTGGATTTCCCAATAGCCCGATTATTGCATTGTCCATTGACTTTACAATGTAACTCATATATATTCCATGTATGGCAGATATATTATCCAACCTTCAAAAGCAACTCTCGGTAATCAGCCAAGTACGAGCTCCTTCAACAATCCGCACCTACGACCCCTACTGGGGAAAATTCCGATCATTCTGTAACAAGCTATCACTGAGCTACCTACCCACCACAGACTTGACACTCGCGCTGTACCTGGTATACGCCCTCAACAAGCACGCCACCCTATCCGCCATCACGCTGACCTGTTCGGCAGTCGCATTCGCACACAAGATGACTGACCTTATTTGTCCCACGAACGGCCCCTTCACTTCCCAGGTCCGAGAATTCGCCAAGCGCCGCTCCCCGCGCCCAAACAGGACTAAAGAACCCGTGTCTCTTCACCAGGTTCACCAGATGACACACGAGTTCATCGCATCCGACATTCCCTCCGTATTCCATAAAGGCCTCATCCCACTGCTCATGTACATGGGCTTTCTCCGCTTCTCGGGCCTCGCCGCAATTCAGTGGCAAGACATCCAGTTCGAGGAGGCGGCGATGTGGCTATTGATTCCCCACTCCAAAACGGACCAAGAAGGCAAGGGAATATGGGTCCCAATCGCGACTACACCCGGACCATATTGCCCAGTAAATATCACCAGACAGTTCATCTCGCTTGCCGGCTATGACGCCTCGACCAAAGGACCACTGATACGGGTGTTCACACGTGACTCCAAAGCAACTCCGCACGACCACGCGCCTTCGTACCCAACTGTTCGCAATTGGTGCTTGGAAGCATTCAAAAAGGTTGGCCTCAACGCCAACCACCTTGGCACGCACTCCTTCCGCAAAGGAGCAGCAACGACGGCGGGAGGCATCGGAGTCTCAGATAGGATGTTCAAGCGGTTGGGCCGTTGGCGCAGCGACAACGCAAAAGACCTCTACGTCACCATCGCACACGACCAGCTTGTGGCTGCCTCCCAGCTGATTCAGGATCCTACACGGGCTCCCTCCCCGAACCAGCACCAATTGTCTATCCAGCGGCATCGCCGACCGACCACTCGCTTGTCTCAGAAGGCCCATACGAAATGAAGCACGATGCCTTTACAAGTTGCAGAAAGCAAGCTTTCACAATATGTAAATTTTTAAAAGTGTGTAACACTTTTCAAAATTGTGTATTGTGAAAGTGTAGCGATTGCCAACGCAGCAAAGGCAGCGTCGCATTGCTACTCGCCCTCTTTTGGCTACAAAAGAGGGGGTTGAGGCCATTCGGCCTCACCCACGTTGGCCTCACCCACGTTCTTCTTTTCAATTTCGAAGTTTGAGTTTCCCACCCACCCACCCAGGCAGGGCTCTTGCTAACTTTTAGGCCCGTCTGACGTTTTCCATGAAAAAAAAAAAAATCGCCTGGCCCTCATATGGAGGATTCCTGGTGGTCTTTGCCTCAGACGGATTTTATAAGTTAGTATGTCGGCTCAGACAGGTTTTCGCGAAATCAGACATTTATTTAGTTATATAGTCTTCACACAGACTACACTCTACTCTACTCTATTACTACAGTTAACCATACATTCATATTGAACTAGGATTCACTATCGCTATCATGAGAAGAATATTCCTCGTCGTCCCCGTCTAGCTCTGAATCTGAAGCAATGTGCTCTTTGCCATGGTCTGCCCGTCTCTGCCAGGGGCCCAACTCCTCCTCTAGCCTGGCTGCTTCTTCTGCAGCTGCTGCTTCACGAGCAGCAGCCTCTGCTGCTGCTGCTGCTGTTGCTGCCGCCTGCTTCGCGGCCAACATCGCAAGGGTCTTCCTCGTGCGCTTCACAGGCCTTTGCGCATGCACCATCACGACATCCTTGGCTGGGCGTCTCTTCTTCGCACCTCTCCACAGCTCTACAAGGGCGGGCCAGTTAGGTTCGTACTTCAGCATGGAGATGGTCATCAGGTCGCCAAGCTTCGCGTCGTTGAGATTGCCGCGTAGCCAGCTCTTGATGACGTTCTGGCGGGAGAAGCCCCGCTCGCACTCCACGGTGCTCAGGGGCAGCACTGCGACCGCCATCCAAAGGCGGACCAGGTTGGGGTAGGCCGTGCACCAATCGGGCGAGCTGAGCATCTGCTTCAGGCCGTCCTGGAAGCTCAGCTCGCGGTGATGGGTCGACATGATCGTGGTGAAACTGCTGATCTCCTTCTGTGCTCTCGTCCAGTTGATTCCTGGTGGCGGGGTGTGAATCAGAAACCAGTTTAATGAGAATACAAGCTGTTTAATGAGAATAAGTACACAAACTCATACAACCAACGAAGCATAACGTGACACAAACATAGAAAATTCAATCAATGACAACCGAAATCGAAGACGTACCAGGCAGGGTGTCAGGGTCGGACGGTTTCCGCTTAAACAGATTGCGGAGAGCCTCCAGCCACTGCAAAAACCGACGCTGCCGCTTCGAGTGAGATTTCGGGTACGCCCCCTGCGTGAACAGCTTGGCGCCGTCGAGAGAGCCCAGATCCTTCATCCGGCTCTCCAGTCGCTTCAGCAGCTCCTTCACGTACCCCTTCGCCAGTGTGATGCAGTCGTCCAGGCCCAGGCCAGATATGTGACCCTTGATGTTCTGTTCATGGAGGGTGTACTCATGAGTAGTTGGGGCGCCAGTCGAGTCGGTGCCCGTCACCTTCACTTCCCTTTTTTCCGACGAGGCGTGCTTCGACAAGAAGGCGCGCAGCTCGTTGCTCCCATCGCCGAAGTTGTCCGCGTCACTCAGGTAACGGTTGCGAAGGGTGAGCCTAGTGTTGTCCACCATCTGCAGCACGTGTGTCACGTCGACCTGCCACACACACATGAGAGGCAGTGGAAAGGCACGCACGGGTAAATATCTCATTAATACGATTCATTAACACTAAAAACAGTTAACAGCAAGAGGCGTAACAGCGTACCTGCCGTCGCTGGAACTTGAGGTTCAGTGCGTTGAGTTCCTTCAACACATCAGCAAAAAAAAACAGCATGAAATGGAATTTCAAACTGGTTACAACGAGGTATGCCTTCGGGTCGTTCTCGTACAACAGAATGACAGCAGCTGGAAGGTTGTCAGCCAGTCGCTGAACCGCCAGACCACGTGAAAGCCACCTGACGCTGTGGATGCCCTGCAACTCCAGGTTCGTTTCACACAGCACCTCCTGCAGCTCTTTGAAGCGTAGGTGGAAGTTGCCCAACCGTCCAAGGAGCTCCGCTAAGGAACGGACGACATGGTCGACGATGTCAAGGTCGGGGTAGGCCTCTGCTGCATCCTTTGCGGCCAAAGCTTCCCTGACATAACACGGAAAAAGCAACAAAGTAGATACATATGCAACGCTTAAAAGGTGAGCATAATATCACAGGGTTACAAACCTGTGCGCGATGCAGTGGAACCCGGCGAGGTGTGGAATCCGTGCACGAAGGCGTGCCACCAGGCCCGTCCGAGAACCGACCACGACGCTTGCACCGTCAGTGCTGATGCCACTGATGCGCTCAAGGTCGAGGCCGGTAGACTCCAGGTGGGTTAGAAGGACTGCCTGCAGGGAACCAGCATCGCACTGCTCAACTGTTAGGTGTGCGAAAAATTCGGTGACTGGAGTGTTGCTGCGGAGGAACGACAAGTAGACTATCAGGTGCTTCCCGCGCCGACGGTCCGTGCTCTCGTCCAATTGAATGCCCAGGTAAGGACTCTCCCGGATGTGCTTCATCTGTTGAGCACGGAGGTAGATGACGAGCGTCTCAACCAACTGCGCAAACCCGTACCTGTAACGACCAGAGAGAAGGTAATTAGTACCGTGCTTTCCAACTAAAGGACGCGCAAAAAAAACATAACACTTACTCGCTGTAGTAGGTGCCGGGATCCTTCAGGGGCATGTCGGGCGTGCCCATCTCTGCCATGAACTGGACCAGCGTCACAAACAGCACAATGGGTGAGTCGCTTCTGCAAATAAAAATAACTGTTGCCAGGAGTTTTGTCAAACGATTGGCTTCCCCGTCACCGTTTTCAAAGTCGACAATCGACTTCTGAGCAGCATTCTTGCAGTCACGCAACTGTTGGCGGTCCAGTGACGCCTCATGCTTGATGGAATGCTGATGTTTCCGCATCGTCTGTCGTTGAATGTCAAGCCCACCCTCTCCATCGCGGCCGTACTGGTAGCTGGGGTCTCCGTGCACCATGCAGATTGAACACCTCATGCAGGGTTGACCCCATGAAGTCTCCGAGATGATGAGCCACGGGAAGTGCTTGAGCCATTTCTCGTTGGCCTTCTGCTGCCACTGCTCGACGGTCAAGACGCGCGGATACTTGTCGTCGTCGTTGGCGGCGACGGGCTGTGACGGGCCCGGGCGAGGTGTGCTAAAGCGGGGGACGGTTGCTGGCGGGACACCTGCAGTGGGACGGTCAAAGCTCAGAATTCGCTGTTTGTATTTACCGTTCCCTGCTCTGATGCGAGAAACAGAAATCGCCGGTAGAGTTGTGGCCACAGATGCCGAAACGGGTTGCGGCGAAGACTCAGCTTCAGCCGGGTTAGGCTGGGTCGTAGTCTCAGTAGCGTCTGACGTGGATTGCGAGGGGATAAGCGGCTCGTCGTTGCATGATGTGATGACGTTGGGGGAAGGAATTACAGGCGGAGGCGTCTGGATTGCGGCAGTGGTGGTCACAGGAATTGCTGCCAGAGTTTTACGGGTTAGGAAATATAACGCAGAAACCTGTGGCTCGTCAGGTACCCCGGGTGGATCACGCCTAGCGCCGTCGGTTGACTCGAGGGCGCCATATAGCATGGTGTGAGGTGGTGTATCACATCACATGAGGCAGTAGCAACACAGGAATTCTAGACGGTACGCGGGAACAAGCTACGGGACGATAGGTATGCTTTGGGCTAGGCGTCAAAGATTGAAAGGCAAAGGCAGGTTGTCAAATAAAGGCTTGGAGAAGAAAGGAAGGGAAGGGACCATCACCACACGAACCGCGCCGCGCCTCTCTCACAAGGGTTTCACGAAGGTGGGTGCATGCTTTGTTTTGGTGTGCACCGACTGTCCTTGACCTCTGCCAGCGAGGTGGGGTGCAACAGCCTGGCAGCGGCGCCGACAACAGCTACCCAACAGATGCGTGGCAGCAACTGAGTCAGATGCAGTATGCGTTGGCAGGAAGAATCCGAAATTCACCCCCGTTCCCTCACGCAGAAATCATTACGCGTGCCTTCACATGCAACACATCACTGCTCCTCTGGCCAACTGGGCTATTTTGTCTCTATCAGACGAATCAATACGCGATTTCTGCTTGATCAGACGAATCTATATAAGTTTCCTGAAAAAACATATGATGCTATAGCCTTGGTCTTGGCTCACATATGGCCCATAACCTAAAGTCTGCCGCAGCATATGAACTACACAGTTCGTGCCTGAAACCTAGACCAACATACTAAATTAGTCTGCTAACGAGGGCCCTGCACCCAGGTAGTCATTGTCTCTAAGATTCTTGCTGTAATCGTAGTTATCATTGGACGAGATTGATGTACTCATACCCATATGAAATGAAGCACGATGCCTTTACAAGTTGCAGAAAGCAAGCTTTCACAATTCCTTGTTTTTAACAGCCCTGCAAGGTGCGAGCTTGACAAGTTCTCACACTTCTTGTCGATGCTTGGTAAGTATGAACAGTTTATTGAATTCAAAGCCTATCCTAAGTTTATCCAGGTCATGCTGCTGAACTTTGTTCCTCCCGTTCAACTTATCCCGGTCATGCAGATGCCACATGTCCCATGCCGCATGTCACATGCCACATGTCACAAGCCACATGTCACATGCCACATGTCACATGTTACATGTCACATATCACATGTTGCAAAGAAGTTTTGGAAGAAGCGGAGTCCATCGGCTGCGTCATCTCGACACAAAAGACCTGAAGGGGTGGTGGTGGTTGGGGTCGAGGAAACAGAGTGGATTGACGGGGAAACCTTGAAACAGTGAAGCGAGAAACAGAGAAACCGTTCACTGATACATGGAAATGCTGAATATGGCGAAGACTGCACGATATGGCCCGAGGATTCAGGAAACATGGACAACAGTGACAACAGTGAAGGGACATTGACCCCACCAAGAGCAACACCCTTACCCTTCACCTCTGGTGCTAGCAGCTCTTCGCTGAATAACACTCGGGAAAACACTTAACTACGCATCACACAGAACGGCGATTAACTAAGAGGGACACCCCAGAACAACACTTAACTAAGCATCATACATTCTTCTTCCTTTGGCCTCGGTGCTAGCAGCACTTCCTTGGCAATATTCCTTTACAAGAACACTCTGGAAACACAGCACTTAGCAAAGCAACACCCTTGACAGCATTCTCTTCTCACCTTGGCCTCGGGTGCTAGCAGCTCCTCTCCAGCAAATCTCCTTGAGAGGGACACCCAGAACAACACATAAACTAGCAGAAATAGGACGGACACACAGAACAAGCAGAAAATAACTAAGCATAAGACATTCTTCTCACCTAGGCCTCGGCTGCTAGCAACTCCTCGTTGGCGACACTCCTGAGAGGCAGACGCACAGCACTTAACAAAGCAACCGCACTTAGTGTTGCTCACCTTTGGCCTCGGCCGCTAGCAGCTCCTCCTTGACAACAGCTGGCGAGACTCCGAGCGCCTGCGCCACGTCAGCAATGGACACCCCGACTCGCAGCGCCTCATTGGTCGATACCATCTCCTGGATCTTGCGTGTGAGCTGGCATGCATGGGTGGGGGAAACAGAGGGAGAGAAGAATTTATGTTTTATGTGATGGCATGAAGAGGGGATAGACGAAGAGGAGCTGAGTGGATGTTGCGTGTGACCTGGGGGGGGAAGAAGATGCACCCTGTTGTGTGAATGGATGCAGGGCGGATAGAAGAGGAGGCGGATGGATCTTGCGTGTGAGCTTGAGTGCAGTGGGCAGAGGAGGAGGCGGGTGAAGACAATGGGGAGAGGAGGTGATGAAGAGTTGAGGAGAGGTAAAGAAGGGAGGAAGAAGGGGGGGAGAACAAAGGGGAAGAGAAGGAGCCGGGGAGGAGGTGCAAGGAGGGGCAGGGCAGCTCGGGCGACAATTGTGAAGGGCATGAGGAGGAAATCGAAGAAGAGAGGAGGGAAGTGGGCAGCATGAGTGGGGTGAGATGTAATGAGTGTGTAGAAGTAAGGGGCGAGATGTAAAGAGTGTGTAGAAGTAAGGGGCGAGATGTAAGCAAGCAGTGTGGAGAAGCAAGTGAATGGGGGTAGGGATGGAGTTGCAGGAGAGGCTTGGCCAGGCGCAAGAAGGGCGAGATGAAATAAAAAGGAAACACGAGCGCGGTACTAGTTGCGCTGTATTCACTGTACTTTATGTGTAACAATGAATATGAAAGCACCTGCAGTCACTGAGGCACAGTGCATGTAATCCACCGTACTAAAGTCACTGAGGCACAGTGCATGTAATCCACCATACTAAAGTCACTGAGGCACAGTGCATGTAATCCACCGTACTACAGTCACTGAGGCACAGTGCATGTAATCCATTGAACTGCACTGCACCGCACTGCACCCACATACATGCTCGTCGCTGTGAGTCTTGAGCTGGACCACGAGGATGCCACTGTCAAAGCGGCGCAGGACAGCAGGGCTGGGGATGGGAGAGAGCGAGAGAGACAGAGGGGAAGGCAGGAGGGAGGGAGGAGATGAGAGAGAGCAGTAGTGAGAAACTGCTGTGCACATTCAGCTGCACCACGAGGATGGCACTCTTAAAACGCCTTAGCACCGCAGGGCTGGGCGTGGGAGAGAACGAGAGACCGAGGGGAAGCAGGGAGAAAGTGATGTGAGTCTTGAGGTGCAGCACGAGGATATCCTATTCGACAGCACCAAAGTGGCATAGCAGAGCAGGACTGAGCAATCGAGAAAGAAAGAACGAGAGAACGAGAGATAGAAAGATGGTCAGAGAGAGGAGAGAAAAGAGAGATTGAGAGAGGAAGAGAGCACAGGAGAAACAAGTGACTGTGAGTCGTCAGCTGCAACCATGAGATCACCACTGCCGAAGCGAGGTGACTTTTGAGTCGACTCAACTGTCGCCAGCTGCACAAGATCACCACAGTCGAAGCGCCGTAAAACATGAAGGGCTGGGCACTTTAGAGAAAGAGAGCGAGAAAGAGCAAGAGCGAGAAGAAGGCAACTTCAGAAAGTTTCAAACTGTACCCAAGTGAACAGGCTACATCCACCGATTTGACTAGGACTTGCAAGCTCGACGTTTAAGGTTGGAGTGACTCACGAGGTGAAGGAGGACCAGAGTGAACACGCCTTGAGAAGATCGTCTGGCGATATGAGCTCTGAGAGGAACGGGGGAGCACACACACACGCACACACACGCACGCACCCACCAACGCAACCATCCACCCACCAACGCAACCATCCACCCACCAACGCAACCACCAACGCCAGCCACCCACCCAACGACCCACCCACCCACACCCCCACCCACACCCACACCCACAACCCCCCACTTCTCCCCCTTCCTCCTCCCCCCCACCCCCTTCTTCCACACACACACACAGAGTGATACGCATGCAGATTCAGAGGACTCATAACCTCAATGGCATCGCCGCACAGTCACATGGCCACATCAAAAGAGGAAATACCCGACAACATTCACCTTACATGCTTGCTTGCTGCCACTTCTCATCAACAAAACAGCACAGCACAGCGCTGCCAACAAAGCACTGCCAGCACAGCACGTCCGACTTGCCTCAGCGAAGAGAGTGGGGTTGAGAGCGGTTCATTACGCACCTGTGCCTCTGGCGCGGTTGAATATGCAGTACACGTCGACCAACAGCATCGTGCCACCTGTCTTCTCCAGCACTGGACCTATGAAATCTGCAAGCTGCGAGAAGAGCAGGGGAGAGGAATGGGAGCAGGGGAGATGAATGGTGTCAGATTACTATCCTCAATGTAACCTACATCAATCATATAAGCCTAGGTCAAAGATAGACACCCTAACTTAGTTTGGGTGTAGAACTAGGGATGACCCTAGTTGGGGGTTGGATCTCAACCTTGGCCAAATTACTTGGCCCCCAAGGTAGGGTTGGGAATTATTGGTCCCCCCAATAATGTTGAACCACTTGGTCAACATTATTGGTCCCCCAATAATCCCTCAACCCAACTTATTGGTGGGGGCCAATATTGTTGGCTAGGTTCCCAACCAAACCAAACCCCTCATCCTCATCATAGCACTATGTATACCGAGTTGACTTTTGAGTCGACTCAAAAGTCAACTCATCCTCATCCTAGCACTATGTACACCCCCATACCTCCTAATCAAGCTATCGGTTCTTCTTCGCGTTTTCTCACAAATGGGAGCAGGGGAGATGAATGGGAGCAGGGGAGATGAATGGGAGCAGGGGAGATGCCCATCTTCAGCAGCAAGTCCTGAAGCTACTCCGACGCTGCTGCTGCTGATGACGAGGAGGCGGAGGAGGAGGTGGAGGAGGAGGAGGAGAAGCAGAGTGAAGGGATAAAATACCCACCTCTCGGGATAGCTGCCTGTGATAAAGCGCCCCTGCGGTCTCCCTCGTGACGGGCGACTCAATGCCCATCTTCAGCAGCAAATCCTGCAGCTCCTCCGATGCTGCTGCTGCTGATGAGGAGGAGGAAGAGGAAGAGAGAGAAGCCGCTGTTTCCCCACTTGCTGTTGCGCCTCCCTGCTGCTGCTGTTGCAGTTTCTGTCGCATTCTCTCAGCCAGTTTCACCATCTCGCTTGCTTTGGCCTGCTTGGAAGGAGGGGGAGAAATCAGGAAGAAACGGGAGTGCTTTGTTGAGGGGCCAAAAAAATCGGCTATTTTGAGGCGCCTCAGAAAGCAGGAAGACCCGGAAGGTGCCACTCTCTCAGCTGCTGCTGTGATGCGCACACCTCACCTACTTGGAAGGTCTGAGTGTGCAGGGTGATTCTGAGAATTCTCAGAAGGATGGATTTGAAAAATACTCAAAAGGCTGATAATGAGAATTCTAAATCACCCTTTTGAGAAATCCCAAAAGAATATTGGGAATCAGCCAACTCGCTTGCTGGAAGAAACAGGAGAACCAGCAGGGAAAGTAGAGCTGTAGCGAGTATGCATTCACAAATGAGCAGCTATCATCGAAAGGCAGGACCAAACTGCCCCGCGCATCCATATGGTGCTTCTTGATGCAATGGAAGGTGCAAGGAACACCAACTATCGGTGGTGGGAGACACCGATAGTGTGGCTGTAGAATCTCACCACATAGTTGCTAGCAAGTTGTTAAGAAATGTGTCCCACTACAGATAAGTGGTGTTCCCATGAGTATGAGTTTTGAACACCATTGCATCAAGCACCATGGATGTGTCCCACTACAGATAACTCATCACCATGGATAAGGCGACTCAAAACTCATCACTCGAAATCTCCAGCGATGAGTTTTGAGTCGCCTAAAAATTATCTGGAACATAAGTATCTGTCATTTTTTAGAAGTAAAAAAAAAACAGATTCAACTAAAAAGTCTTCGGGACATGAGACAAAGAAAGCATGAGCCTGGCTGCCAGTGAGCTCAGGTGACTGAGTTTTGAGTCGACTCAAAAGTTGAAACACGAGCCTGGCTGCAAGCGAGCTCGCTCGGGTCGGACCGTCCCACTTTCCGCCTCGGCCCGAAGCAAACTGTCCCCGGGTCCTAGTGATCTCGTACGGGCCTGGCTCATGCTCATATCCCCAGGAGGCACTGATAATACTCCAAGCCCCTCATTCGTACGCTCGTGGTATGATCCTCTATACGACTCATCATGAGAGCATTGACGGGGGGGGGGCTTCATCCTGCAAGCTTCTATGCTCTATACGCGAGATTGCAGGTATATCCATCAGAATACCTGTAATGGATCATTATTCTAAGCCGCTTGTAGCCTCATAGCACTTGCCTCACACTCACCATGAGCGCAAGGTGGAAAATGTATGCTTCTTCTGCAAGTTTCTATCCGTTCCGGGGAGAGTGCAGACATATGCGCATTGGAAAACCTGTGATTGGTCCGAACTCCTTTCACACTCACCATGAGCGCAGTCAGGTCGGACGGAGAATGCCACATGCAGGATTCGATCCTGTGACCAATGGGGAGATAGGCTCAATACTGTAGGTAGCTGACTCACACCCTCCGTCAACAAACCGAACCGGTTTCGTCGGTTTTTGTGGTTCGTTTTTTACAGATTCTCTGAGCCACGATATACCGAATTTGATCATGCCAATTCGAATATAACGCGAAAAAACGATGCGTTGGTGCTCGTAGTAGCTTCAACTCAATTATAGTCTCACAAAACCTCCCTTCCGTCTACCATTTGTGCGATTCATATGGTTCTCTTATCATTTTCAGCTGGTAGGACCACATTTAAAGTTCAGCTGGAAAAACGAACCGCTGGAAAAACGAACCGCTGAGGTTCGGTACTACCGTACCTTTGCCGGTTCGGCCGAACCGTTTCGGTCCGTTGGCTATTTTAACGAACCACAAACCGGCACCATGCAAAACCGGTTCGTGAAGGAACCGGTTCAGTTCAGTAGTGAAGTGGTTCGGGTATTAACAGTGAAAAACGAACCTGTTCGGTTCAGTAGTGAACCAGTTCAGGTTTTAAGGGTGTAGAAACGAACCGGTTCGGTTCGGTACCCTGCTCATGCCTAGCGCATCGAGGTCCGAGAATGCCTCCTGCAGGCTGCGATTCGTGGCCTGATTCTGCCAGTGGGTGCATCTAAATCCATTTTTGTGATGTGATAGATGACAGGTCAGCAATCCAAGTCCCTGACCTGACAGGCTCATACCCTCAACTCCACTCACCATGAGCGCATTCAGGTCGGAGAACGCTTCTTGCAGGCTGCGATCCGTCGCCTGCTTCTGCTCCGCCTCGCGCCTCAGAATCCCCCCCACCCCCGCCATTGCTGTGCTGAACTGGACCGGAGGAGCCCCCCCCGCTCCCCCTGCTGTCCCCGCTTCCCCGCTTCCATACCCCACACTGCCCCAATAGAGGGGGTTCGCTCCGCCAGTTGCTGATCCCCCCATTCCGCCCCCCCCATACGCGCCGACCGCTGCTGCTGCGCCGTTCGGCGGGGCAGGGAGAGATGCGGAGGCGGCAGTAGTGGGGGTTACTAGAAAAGGTGAATCTTGCCATTTTCTAGCCGCTAGCGCTTCGTTGAGTTTTTTCAGGAACACGTCAGCAGGGGCCTGGCCTCTTAGAACGGCTACTAACGACGTGGTTCGTCCTGACGTCGTCCCTAAGTTGCTGCTCTGTGTGCTGTAGCTGCTGCCAATGGCAGAAGACGACAAAACCGCCCGCCCTTGCGGGTCCAGTAAGACGTACATGCGAACACGAGGGGAGGCGAAAACTGAGGTGAGTCGCCACCCCGCAGCGGAAGCATTCGCGATGGCGACGAGTGGCACGGCGAAAGCTCGCTTCTGGTTACCACCTGTCGCCGGCCGTTCGTCGATCCAGATCAGCCGGTGCGTGGTGAGCGACGCGACGCCATCGCGAAGCGACTCCGCTTCGAGAACCGCGCCGGAATTTGAGGCTACCTCCTCAAATTCTATCCCTGCGTCGTCGATTAAAAGGCTCTCCAATTCCCCAGGAAACAGCACGGGCCGGCCGGAGGGAGTTAAATCTACCGGATGCAGCATGCGCTCCGCCAAGGGTGTGGAGGCGGCGCGCTGGTGAGCCATCACCGCGAGTTGAGAGGGTTTTTAAGGGAGATTGGGCGCAGTTCCGAGGCAGTTCTGAGAGCTATTATCGAGGATATTCTCGAGGCGATTACTCAGGTGCCTCAGGAGGGAACTCCGATAACAAGTGGAGAGTGGTGGTGATACGTCATGCCGCCTCACGGCGCGTTACCTAGCGTTTCCAGAGGAAGCACGTTGGTACGACATTTTGGTGGAATAAGTGCTAACACTTCATGTAAACCGTGGCGAGAGCGGTGGGACGTGGCTTATTATCGAGATGCTAGGGTACGTGGCGCATATTTTATCTACGTACCCCTCGTTTCTCGTCTAAGTGACTAGGCGCGACTCGAGAGCTCATTGATGCGAAATGTTCCTCACTGACAGTGTTGACCGCCATAGTGTAAAATAGGTGCCCGACCCAAAATTCGCGGTACAAATCGAAGGGCCAAATCCCTTCGTTATAAACGCTGTAACATTCACACTAACTAGTGTCATGCTCTGAGCCAACTTTGCACCAAGCATGATGCATCAAATGTACCTGCTGATGCCATGCCACATAATCATCAATATACACAGCTTGAACATGCAAAAATTTCAATTTATGCAGATAAATGGTTATTTTTTTACCTAGTCAACTTCTCATTCACCTCGAAGTCAATAAGGGTACATGTTATCAAATTATCTGAGTAAATGTTGTTAGTTTTTAGGCTAAGATGAGTTTCTCTTTGGAGAGTACAAATTGATGTGGTTGGTGAAGCTTGCCTTCAGTGATAACTGGTTTGCTCGCAAGTCTATGTAGGTCAACGAGGAGTTGTTCTTGCACAGTACGATACTAGATTACGCACGTCGGATATGTTCGCGTGGGTGTAATTGTTCGCATATCGATTCGCCGAACCACAATATTCTCGCGACAGTAACGACGAAACGGATTTGGGGCACGCCCCTCCCAAACTATCGCTGCGAGAAGTGACGAACGACACCAGCAACATCGCTACCAGGCCCAGCAAGAGAAGTCACGAGGAGGAATCCGAGTTGTGGCTTGTTCCATAACAAGCAAGCGATAACCTCGCAAGAAGCTCCGCGCAAACAACTTTCCAAAGCAGCAGGCTAACCCTAATGGTGCCAAATGTTCAGACCCTTCTTTAGTACCTGTGCTCATGCCGTTTTTCGTGATGCTGTGGAAAGTAGCGCTTGATAGTCTATATCGCCTTTAGTGATGGACGTACCCGTCCGTGACACCCACTGGGTGTCGTCGCTATGGCTCGTCGCGAGAAGGGCGTTCGTGGTGACTTTTCTTGCGACTATGTCGTTCGCGATGCTGCTAGTGTGGGTGTACAATTTCTCGTCCGGCGCGAGTCCCGGTGTCACAGCCTTCCGCGATTCCTTAGATTCGTGCGTGGGAGTCGGCCTCGCGTATAACGGAATGCATAGCATGTCATTCTTCCGCGGTATTGCGTGCTCCGACTTGGTAAACACAGCCGCCATACGCGGTAAAGCAGGCTTCGATAAAGGAAGCGAGATTCATTACCGTCACATCTTGGCGACTGGAGGTGACAGCAGCAACACCAGCGGCAGCAGCATCGAAGAGGGTACTAGCTCAGGAACAAGAAACCTTAGTTCCACGATAGGATATTCAGAAACGGAGAATCCGGAGAGAGACGGTTGTCAAGTCCTATATAACTCCAGCGTTGACCCTCGTGATATAAAGCCCACTTCGTCCTTCAACCACTCCGGCTGCCAGATCGAATGGATCACTTTCTCCACCAGGTGTGGAAAAGGCGTTCAACGCTTAGCTAAGTTCTGCGACTTGGTGGGAGTTCCGTTTGCAATACTCGGTCTGAACGAAACTTGGAAGGGACTCGGCGGCCGTGTGAGGTACTATCGGGAGTACTTAAGAACACTCCCGCGTGATCGTATCGTGATTGTAACAGATGCGGACGACGTCTTGCTCCTGCCGAATCGCGAGCTGTGCGGGCCGAATCAACTCGTTAAAGCGTTCCTCTCAGTCAACGCTCCTGTCGTTTTCGGAGCCGAAATTTTCGCGTATCCGACAGTCGATGTCATACCGTTTTACGGGCAAAAGCTGAAGTACCCATTCCCGAATCGGCACCTTAACGCAGGGTCTTGTATCGGGTTCGCGTGGGCTTTATCAGAGATGATAGACGCAACGTACACGAGTGACTGTATGGAGGACCAGCGACAGTTCGTCACTGGTTACTTGGCCCAACCGTACCTCTTCAACTCCCTCCCACGGACGCCTTACCCTGAAACAAATTTCACGTCGTTACAATCACTTATTTTGCAACAAACAGCACTAACTGCTACCTCTGAAGCAGCCACCTCGTCCCTCACGCCTACTCCCGGTAATCTGAAATACCTCTGTGCTCTACCCGGCCCGTTACAAGACCTGATTCCCGAGGATGTCACTCCGGAGAAGCTAGAGGCGGCCAGGCAGGCAGCGCCGCCGCCGTTTATCAAGCTGGACCACTACAACGCTCTCATGGAGCTGCTGGGAGGGCGGCGATTCGAGCAGTTTGAAGTGCACGGGACGGGAAGTGAAATTAAGGTGTATTCTGGAGTTACTAAAGCGTATCCGTGTATTTTTCACCAATCTGGGGATAAGCTGAAGAGGGGGGTGGTGAATGAGATAGTGGAGAATGGGACCCTGGATGCCATTGCGTTTTGAAGGGATGGAATAGCAACTGTGTTTTGTAGCTTGTGATAATACAGCAAATACTATCAGAATAAAGTATTATGCTGGCTTAGGACCTGCCGGTAAAAGGGTCCCCTGGGACTCTGTAATGTGTGGTGGGACTCTTATTCTGGCAAGTTTTGTGAGGACACCCTTTTGCCCCTAATCATTTTGAGACCCCCCTTATATGTATACTGTTCACCCCCTGATATACCCCGCCCCGCCCCGCCCCTGGGGCTATAAAAAAACAGGTATTTTAGTGGTGAATGAGATAGTGGAGAATTGGACCCTGGAAGCCATTGCGTTTGAATGAAGCTACCAGTTGAAATCAGGGTCGTCGCAAGCAGAAATTTTCTGTCTGTTTGTCCGATATTCAGACAGATTTTTACCAGTTCATCTGATTTTCCAGAAATAAATTTTGAAATTTCTGATTGATAAGAAATGTTTTTTGAATTCATCTGGTAAATCAGGAACCTGTTCAGGTTTCGTCTGATACCGAGTTCCAATATACATGGGTATTTCGTATATGAATAGAGTGTTAGAATCATGTGAGGAGAATGGATGTCGATTAGGTTGAGGGTGTTAGAATCTAGACGAGAATGAATGAACTATGAATGAGTTGGGTAAAAGTACTAACCCTAATTGGGTTGTACCCCTTATAGGCTAACCCACTACAGCCTAAACAATGTAAGCATTATAACATTTTGACACACCCCCGTAGGCAAAATCGGGGAGAACAAGTGGTCACAAGACCATTCAAGAAAACCAAAGCAAGCTCAGGGTGGATCACAAAGTCACCACACATTCCGAGCACAAGCAAAAGGCCACAAGTCCAGTTCACATGCAGAGTTATATAAAGAGCACAAACAGTACAATGATCATAGCCTAGCAAGAGTAAGCATGCAGGTATATATATCGATCACAACACAAGCAAAGTCACGAAGTGAGCAAGTGAGGCAAAATAGGCACAAGGCTTAAAACAGTAGAGAAACGCTGATGATCACCAGACTGAAGTGTCTTGGTAAATATATCAGCAGTGTTGGCCCGAGTGGCCACGTACGCAAGACAAAGCTGACCACGCTGCTGCATCTCTCGAGCAAGGAAGTATCGCAGAGCGATGTGCTTCGATTTGTGCTCCAGTCCGTGCTCCTAACACAAGGCAATCATGGCCTTGTTGTCTACGTACAGGACTGGAGGCGAACGAGGCTGCTCTCCCAAGTTGGTCAGCAGGTAGGTGAGCCAACGTAACTCCTGTGCAGCCATGGCTCCTGCGTAGATCTCAGCCTCGCAACTGGAACTGAGAACAGAAGACGAGCGGGTAGACCGCCAAGAAACAGAGCCGGAGCCAAGGCTGAAAGTGTAACCCTGTGACGATCGCTGCGTAGCCAACTCATCAACCCAAGAAGCGTCTGCGTGTCCAGTGAGGACAACTGGACCCCGTCCTCCAAGCACGAGCCCCATGCCCGACGTACTGAACAAGCAGCACAACACCCTCTTAGCAGCCTCCCAGTGCTCTGGTCGGTGTCTCCCAAGCGCAACGTAGCGTGCCAGGATGCTAAGAGGGTGGGCAAGGTCAGGTCGAGTGCAGGTCATCAGGTACATGAGGCAGCCCACAAGCTCTGGATACGGGCCACTCGGCTCTACGGACTCGTCCGAAGGTGGAGCTGAGAGCGAGTGGCCGGTAGGCAGAGGAGTGGAATGTGGCGAGGAGTACCGGAAGCCGAAGTGCTGAAGGACCTAGTGCACCATGTGTGACTGAGTCAGGGTGATGGTGCGCCGTGCTCTGTCCCGGGTGATCTGCAAGCCAAGATAGCTGCACAGCTCACCCAGGTCAGTGCACGTGTGTCTCTTCTGCAGCTCCGAATTCACAAGGGCCAGTGCCTAAGTGTCAGCAGTGACAAAAACCAAGTTGTCGACGTACACGAGGACGTAGAACGGCGGCAGCGAAGTGTCGGTGCATAGAAACAACGATGGGTCAGCAGTAGAAGGAGCAAACCCAAGAGCCGCAAGCGTCATCCTCAGTGTGTCGTGCCACTCACGAGGCGCCTGGCAGAGATCGTAGACTGGCCGGCAGAGGCTCCACTGGGTACCTGCAGGAAATGACCCAGTGAAGCCAGGTGGGCGGAGAAGCCAGATCTCCTCGTGCAGGCTGCCCTGTAAAAGAAAGCTGTACTGAAGTCCAGAGAGTGGAGCTCGTAGTCACGCTGAGCTGCGACGTGCAGCAAAACCTGAAGAGTGGTCATCTTCGGGGTGGGGCAGTAGGTCTGGA